GCTCGATATCATTTTATACAAACTTGCTGAAGCAATTATTATTCCAAAATTTGAAAAGTTTAACTGATTAACTAGAACCTAAGTCGGCATATAGGGAATAAATTAATAATATCGTCGTTTCCGATCATTTGGTCTGCATATCCTTCAGCTTCGCGCATATCTTCCAACTAGTGTCAAGACAGTACAAAAGAAAGACAGAATACGAAGACGAACATGATTAATCGAAAACGACCGAACTACAAAAGCTATTTACAATAAAGCTTTAATAGGAGCACATTCAAAATTTTCCTAACAAGGGTTATATCTAATACATCTCGACACAAGACAAAACTACTTCCTTGCAAACAGCTTGGTGTCCAATTTAGTCCAAATGAAAAATCCCGGCGTTGAAAAGACGTTAATTGCCGCGTAGGAGGAGGGGCTGGGTGCGGTAGGCGATTCTGGCCACGAGGACCTCGCTCTATCACTATATCCGCCGGGTGGGTATCCGGCGTGGCAGCGGGGGCAGGGAGCTCAACTGCCTGAGAACCCACTTCACGCCGCCCACTCTGCCACTCTTCCCTTCACATCGCTAAATATAGCCCAGTTGAGCAGGGCTCGCTCATCCGCTGGCGGATTTCGCCCCCCCCCCCAGGACTGCTAATTTAGGCCCACGTCCCTCCCTTTCTTAAGCTGTGGTTAATTGGCGTAAAACAACCTTTGGCGGTTGTAAAGGGATTGGCGGTTTTTTCCTCCCTTCCTTGAAGTGTGGGACTAAAATATTTCAAAATTATCTTTGAAAAGATAAGAACATCTCAATCCATCCTACTGCTGAAGACCTCGATACACTACCCAATCCCTACATAGCATCGCCTCGAATTTGAGAAAACAGTCAACCTCCAATGTACGTCAGCAAAAAGAACATACCGACAGTTGAATACTAGATGGGCTATACCTAGACACAGAACTGACATGGAATCTTCAAATAAGTATTGGCATACTACTAGTGAACAGAAAACCTGGACAAATAGAACTTCTGTACTAACCCAAATCTGTCATGATTATGACGATCTACCATTGAACAAAGTACTTCGACCACACTGGATTCCGTGGAGTACTGTTGGTATCAAAAGCACTTAGACGAAAATCAAAGCTCTTAAAGTACATCAATGATACACTTACATTTCGCAATCCAAATTTTGGTTCATCATCGTTCAGCCCTTCATATTTCAATAGTTAAATAGAAAAATGAACTATCCAGTTTGCCAAATTAACGACTTAAATTTCAATCAAGCTTCGAAGTTCTTTCACTACCGTAAAAGCCCAATTAAAAAAACTATTCTTCAGTACAAGGACAAATTTGCCTGATTGATTAAAAAGAAAGATAAAATTTTTAAAGAGTTTAGGCTCTAATTCTATTCCAACAAAACAGCGAGAATAGGCCATACACGTTTCTATCAAATTGCTGTCAACGGTTCGTCGACTCGTTCCCGAAACGGCTCAGAATTAATTCTGCGGCCGACCAGATCATCGGATAGATGCCAAAATAATTATTGGCATCTTTACAAGCTGTTTCGCCTCCCCTGAGCCTCTTTTGTTCTTCATTTCAAACATAAAATGCACCCCCCTCAAAGAATGTAAATCCCCCTTCCTGGTACAGAGGTAAATTAGACCGTGAGACCCTTTGCCAAGTACTTGCAGGACTTTAACCCCAACTTATCAGCAACTGGGACGTGATGAAATGATCAACCTGCTGACAAGAACTAATTCACCGGCCCAACCGAGTCAGACCCTTTTGAAGCTGAACTTGACAGTATGACAACTTAAAGTTTGGCAAGTACTATCGAGCACACTGAATAAAATTAAATAAAAAGGCAAGAAAGCACCAGAAAACATTTTCATGAGAAAATTTGTTTGAATTTTTTTTTTACTTTTTTTGGTAATTGCGATATTTGGTTAGTTTACAGAAGAATCAACGCCAATTACAAGAGAAAAACCAAGAATAGGAACACCACTAAATCAAGAATATAATCTTTTTCATTTAAAAAATATATATATAAATTGCAAAAAATTGCGTTGCATAAAAGTCAAAATCTAAATCAAAGAAAAAATTGAAGCTCCACAGAGGCAGACCAGGACGGTAAATGCCAGGAAGGAAGTATTAAAAAGACTTTATATTAAAAAAGAGATCTTTGCCGGAATAATCAAGAACAAGTCCTCTCAAGCCATCTGATGCTTCATTATCAAGCCCCGATAGATCAGTTCCTCCTCCAGGAAATCACCAATGAGATTTCGTTCCGATTCTGATTTTTTTCCACCAACGTAAAACGCTGATCAGCGATGATAAGCTCGACATACCGTGGCCTTACCAAGGTTGAACTGATATAGGCACGTTCGACATTAAAAAAAAACCCCAAGCAGAAATTAATTTTTTTTACACAACGTGCAGTATTTAAATTCATTCAAAATCTAGCAAAATCTGAGAAAAGGGTAGATTAAACCTCTAACATCACCTGGTCCGCTCATTAGCACTATCATCATGACACAATACAGATCATATCGATTTACCCGTTTTAATTAAAACGTTTTGAAATTTCAAACCAGATCACTTGCTAATTCGACTTGGGGGGGGGGAGAAGTACAATAGACAAAAGACACTGTCAGCTTGACACGGCCTATTAGCCCATAACCTTAAGGAAGTTTCTCACGAGGCAGGGCTCTTTCAGGTGCATCTGTCTTCCCACTTAACAATCTCAACAGTCATCTGTATTCCACTCTTTTTACTATATTCTTAAAAAGTTCATCAAGGCAGAAAATGTTTTATTAAATGTTTAACATAGAAGATGTGATCACATCACAAGTACACAGAAAAACATTATGGCAGAAAGCAACTACAATTTAAAAAAAGGCAAGGTAAAGCTTGAAAACGACTTTCTGAGAAAAAAAAGAAAAATGTTGTTGTGGGGACATTTTGAATTTCTGAGTACTATGTCTGATAATGTATGTTCTTGTCATTTCATGCAATTTATTTACATTGTTTTATTTATCCGACTCACTGGTTTTGGGTTCGAATCCAGGAATGGTCCATGGCGTTTTTAATACATAACAATATGAAAAACGTTTGAAAAGTGATTTTGACGTCGCCCGTGACATCCAAAGGACGTTAAAGTCTCATGTATGACAGGAATTACATTAAAGAATTAATTTTGCCAAGCTGCCGGTTTTGGGTTCGAATCCCAGCATTGTCCATTGCTTTTTAACTGATCATAATACAAGAAATTTTTTTTGGCATGGTTCTGATCCGTCATTGGCATCATCCAAAGAACGTTAAAGTCATCCTGTATGACAGGAAGTAATTTACAAGACACATTTTGCCATGCTGTCGGTCTGGGTTCAAATACATAGCCTATGTAATTTTAATTATGAATAATGTAAAAAAAAATATTGGAAAGAGGTCCTTAACCCCTCGACCTCAACAAAGAACGAGTATTTGGGCGTTAGAGTCATTCTGCATGTAGTATTAATATGTTGTATATGTATATTATTCGATGACATTATTATGTTTTCTTTTTTTTATTGTATCTCACTATTTACCAACATATAGCCTAACCTATGCAAATACACAACCGCCACCATAGAATACCAACAATATAAAAATTGTATCTTTTGAAAATAAACACAGGGTTTGCCTAAGTATATTGTTTCCAAAACGATCATAAAGGGGACCGTAAGAAATAACGTAGCTGGTACTTAAATTGTGGTACAACCTAATGGATATGCTGAAGTTAAGACGTTTCGGAACATATTTGGTCCCTCTATCTCGCAGTTTTGGTCCGTAGCCTCATTGAAGATGCCTGATGCCATACCGAAACGATAATAAAACGACCTAACTTCAATAAATTTAAAGACAATGGAATCAAAAGCAAAAAGTAATGTAATTCCTGTCGTACATGAGAGCTTAATTATGTATGATGGAATTACTTTATAGGACGTATTTGACCACGTTGATGGTTCTGGGTTCGAATCTCCGTACAGCGTATTGAATTTTAAATATGAATATTATGGAAAAAAAAACTTTGAAAAGTGATTCTGACCCTTTGGCAGCCACATCAAACGGGTACATAGACGGTAAAATCCTTCTGTATTGTCTTTCCTTTTTGTTATATGTTACAATCTATTAACATATACATAACCTATGCAATGCGCAAACCACCGGTCCAGTTGGTAAAAGGATGGTTCTACGTTTGTTAAAATTCGAAGGGATCATTATGAAATTATATAGCAGTCAATAAAATTACTATTGGGTGATGAGCCTGTAGTTTGGTCGTTACCGAACATTTTGGTCCGCCCAGTTTCGCCGTTCCGAACAAGCATGGAAGATGGCGATGAAACGAAGGCGTCTGACGGGCCAAGACAACAAAGATGAGCAGAAAAACGACCAAACTACAAACAAATTTACAATAAAATCGGAGGGAAAATTCGTTTTTAAAGAATTGCTAATTAAACTTTCGGTCGGGAATTTTAAAAGACCGCATGGCAGACGCGGAATGGCGTTTCTTGGACACGTTGGTTATAATAGAATTACTTTTTTTTCATTTGAGCGTTTTTGTTTGTTTTTCTTGTTTAATTTTTGTTAATTTTGAATAAAAGAGACATTGTTGAAACGGGTCGGCGCCGGTTTTTGAGTTTTTGAACCGTAACGGCTCTTCTGAAGGAGGCACGACCGGCCCGGAGCCGTGGTGGGGAGACGGGTAATCGGTCGAATTCCGCTCATTCTGTCCAACTCTAAAACGAAAAAATGGTGGGATGACGGGTAATCGGTCGAATTCCGCTCATCCTGTCCAACTCCAAAACGGAAAAAATACAAAACAACCCGGATCAACTATTTTCAAACTAAAAATGCGTATATTACGAAGGAATATCATAAAATCATGGAAGTAATTTGGTGAAATATGCGTTGAAGATGGTGAATTTGATGGGACGCGTTTGTCGAAAGATTCATCGGTAATTTATTGACTTACCGGATGCCTTGCGACTGCTGCAGCTGCTGCGGCGGCATTCATTCCTGCTGTCGGGTACATGTTACATCAGTACATCTCTATCGAGATGCACGGGGCACTTATCACACTGGGGCACTTGCACACTCACAGCACAGTATCTCCTTTCATGCAGAGCGGATGAGGTTGAAAAGCACGGCACAATAAAAATGGTAGAATAATAACGGCGGCGGTGTTGACGGCGATCGTAATCCAAATGGTTCAGGTTGTAGGGCGATGGTGTCGCCGGTTCGGTGTCTGGTGTCGGACTGAAGCGGGCGAGAGGCGCTCGCCCCACCCCCGGCACAACACTCGCCCGACAAGCACGCACTTCTTCCCCGGTGAAAAAAATCGAAGCCGTGGCTCGGTGCAAAATGGCCGCCCCCGTCTCTACAACCCCCGATACACCGCCCCTCTTCCAGAATAACACAAAAGGTCTCTCGAATTTTCCCCTCGACGGCCGGGAGAGCGTCTATTTCTCTCCCCGTCTCCCTCGGCCGATCCCTCACCCCACTGATTTCATCCCCCTGTCGGTTTGCACAAATATGGCAGCCGTATCAAGGGCCCCGCCACCCCCTACGAACCACCCTGATTACCGGCCTCGGCGCCCACCCCCGACAACACTTCCCACACATTTTTCCCCGTGGTGAAAAGCGGATCCACGTGGAGTCGAGCGGGCGTCGGACGACGAGGGCCAATGGGAGACGCGGATCCATCGGCCGGGGCCAATCCGACGAGGCGGACGGCCAAGCCTGTGCCGCGTTATCTGAAAAGAGGCGGGACGTCGACTAAGAAGCCGGCCAATCGGAAGGCGAGGACGACCAATCGGCTCCAGCCGTTTGTTATGCGGTCGCTCGGGGCTCCTCCTTCCTCACGGCCCCACGTGGACTCCAGACGGCTCGGAGAGGCTAGAGATCGACGACGAAAACTCTAGAGGCCCGAGGAATTTTGCCGTCAGCATCAACGGCAAATTCGTCAAAATTCTTACTGAAAATTACAAAATAAAGAAAAAATAGAAGATAATTTTACCACTTTTCAGAAATTCATTTATCAAAGGATTAGTCAAGAAATCGCTCCATGATTTTTGTAAAATTTTGGTTTACTAATCAATTATCAACAAATCCGTCCACGATTTCATTTAGGAAATTTCATGTTGTCTTGACATTTGACCTATAATTTAGAAAATAAGAAGTTAAGTTCATCAGGCAATTAATGATTTTGAGAAAGTAATTTTATTCTTTAACGACTTCATTACTAAATTTGGTCTGATCAAGGAATCAATCTATAATTTGACTAAAATTTCGATATAGTTATATCGGAACTATAATGAGAAGTTTCATATTAGACCAAAATTTTATTAGTACTTAAACATTTTGCTTTACCATTGATAATAACCACATCATCCTATGATTTGAGGAAAATTTCAATTCAACTATCCGACCAACATTTATTAGAAATTTTGATTTACTAGATATTTAAACATATTCAAATCAAGATTTAGAGAAATGTCATTTGGACTTGATATTTGATCAATAGTTTTTATTTAAGAATATTGGTCAACTAGCCAATTCACGGTGATCATTTGATGATTTTAAGATGATTTTTTTTCTTATCGTCTTAACTTCAATTAATTAAGCGATTAGTCAAGAAATCGCTCTATGATTCGTATAAAATTTTTGTTAATGAACAAATCCATCCATGATTTAAATTAGGAAAATTGCATTTTGTCTTGACATTTGGCCGATAATTTAGAAAGTGACAAGTTTAAGTTCACCATACAATTAAACAGATCATTTAATGATTTTGAGAAAATATTTTTTTTCTTTAACGTCTTCATTAGTAAATTTTGTTTATCAAGGAATCAGTCTATAATTTTTACTAAAATTTCGTCTTACCTCCACATTAGACCTTAGATTTGGAGTATCCAATAATAAACAGATCGAACTATGATTTGAGGACAATTGCAATTCAGCCATCCGAACAACATTTATTAGAAATTTTGATGTTAAACATATCAATCCAAGATTTTAGGGAAATTTCATTTGGACTGTTTATTTGATCAATAGTTTTTAACTAAGAATGTTGGTCAACTAGCCAATTAAGGGTGATCATTTGATGATTTGGACACAAATTTTTTTCATCGTCTTCACTTCAGTTTATCAAACGATTGGTCAAGAAATCATTCTATGTTTCTCGTAAAATTTTGGTTTACTAGTCAATTATGAGCAGATCCATCCACAACAAAAATTCATGTTAACTTGATATTTGCCCAATCATTTATTAAGTAAAATCAGACTATGGTTTCAGAAAAATTTCAGTTTTGCCATCCAGCCAACATTTAATAAGAATGTTGGTTTAAATAAAACCATATTGTTAGGGAAATTTTATTTAACATTCTCACCAATAGTTTTTGATAAGAATTTTGGTTAACTTATCAGTTAAAGAGTTGTATAATTTAATAATTTTGAAAAAATTCTTCTTTTTCTATTCATTAGTAAATCAATTTATCATTCGAGTCAATCAAAAATAATTTTCTTCTTTTATTAATTCAGTTGATCAAGGGTGGTCATGAAACAGTCCAAGATTTTAGGAAAATTTCAATGAAACCATCAAAACTATTATGAAGAAAGAATTTTGGATTACTAGACCTTTAAAGACATTATTCCAACAATAATTTTAATATTTAAGAATATCAAACGATTAATCAAGAAATCAATCAATGATTTTGGTAAAATTTTAACTGAAGCACGAATCTGACACAATAATACTAAATACCATTTTCGTTTACTGGAAAATTTAATAAATCATTTCAAGAATTTGCGTAAATTTTAACTTTCACTTCATATTCAACAACTATAAAATACATGCAACAATAAATTGAGCAATTAATTTTTTTCTAGTTTAATATTGACAAATGTATTAGATTATAAAACAAATGTAATTTAATTTCAAATATGTTATACAATTTGAAATAAGAACTTTCGTATACTTGATAATTCAAGAGATTTCCTATTCAATAATTTTCGTAAAAATGTGTAGAGATTAGTGACCGTTAATCGATAGTAATTCAGATATCGTGAGATGCGGTCGGGTGTGATGTAGGTTTCAGAAAAACATTTTCTTTATCGTGCCAACGTTTCGATCATTTATTGAGATCATCAAAGTGCTCTCAACACGACACGCAAGGATGGCACAATTACACAGAAGACAAACACTTTGAGTGAGTAGAAATACTTTGTTTGAATATAAAATATATTTTGCATTGTATAAATTCACTTTTCCACATCCTAAATGTATTTGTTAAATGTAAACATTGTTTGTAAATCCCAGGCCCTGAAGATGATCTCAATAAAGGTTGGAACGTTGGCACGATAAAGAAAATGTTTTTCTGAAACCTACATCACACCAGACCGCATCTCACGATATCTAAATAAATAAGTACTATCACACTAATCTAAATAATTTTCACATCTAAACATAAATGTATTAAGTAAGAATTTTGGTTTTCTAGTGGATTGGACATTTAGAATATTAAAAATTTGGGAAAAAATTAAATTTTTGGTTATCCAAAAAATATTATATTTTTATTACATGTTGACGAATTATTGAATAGTTAAATGAAATATTGGTCAAATGTCCAGTTAACATGAAATTTTCCTAACATCAAGGAAAAATAGATAAACGATTTGTTTAATTGGCTAGTTAACTATCATAATTAATTAAAATTACTGATCAAATGGCAAGTTAACATGAAATTTGTCTAAAATCATGGAATGACTTCAATTGGGTAGTAAATGAAAATTCTTGCTTAATAAATTGATGGCTACATGAAAAGTTAAATAGACATTTATCTAAAATCACCGTCCGACTTCTTGAAATTTTTATCAAATGCCAAGTTATTATAAAATTTTCCTAAAATCACAGTCTGAGATTCAAATTGTCGATCAATTTTCAAATTAATTATTCAGAAATCGTGAGATGCAGTCTGGTGTGATGTAGGTTTCAGAAAAACATTTTCTTTATCGTGCCAACGTTTCGATCTTTATTGAGATCATCTTCAGGGCCTGGGATTTACATATATATTTTATATATTTTGCATTGTATAAATTCACTTTTTTCCACATCCTACATGCATTTGTTAAATGTAAACAGTGTTTGTAAGTCCCAGGCTCTGAAGATGATCTCATTAAATATCGAAACGTTAGCCCGATAAAGAAAATGTTTTTCTGAAACCTACATCACACCAGACCGCATCTCACGATTTCTGAATAATTAGTTAATGATATGTTTTGTTCATCTGGTGACAATAAAGTTTTTCAATCATGTTGGTGATCCTGGTCATTATGCACTACAACTACAATTTTTCCAACCAGATTATCAATAAGATTAGATATATTTTTTTCTTTCCAAATGATAGATTGGGGATGAGGCCTGGTCTCATTCCCAATCTACCTTTTGGAAAGAAAAAATATATTTAAACTGAGAAGGCTGATCAATCACCAAAGGAAATATTAATAAGTTTAGATTTAAAGTACGAATATATCTTAGCAGTTAAACGAGTTAAATGTTTTGTTTAATTAAGGCAAAGTGAAGGTAGACTAAGATTAGCTATATATCTTCATTTCCTAATTAACTCTGGTAATTGTAATATAAATTGGGAGATAACATTTGGTCAGAAAAATGTTTATTAACAAAAAATGATAGTATTATAGTTTTTATTATTATTAACGATGTATTTAGGCAGCAGGTTGATGTATGAGGATAGACTTTATCCTTATTTATAAGGATTATTGACTGATTATTTTTTGAGTAGTAATGTAAGTTGAGAAATGATCTTATATAAAATCAACGTTAGAAAACTTTTTTTAAGATTACATTTTCGTCTTTGTACGATAGGCTTAATTTTTTTGGTTGTCAGGATGACTATAGCTTTCATCGTCTAGTAAAACGGATCCGTTTTCCACCAATTATAGGGCGATAAATTTGTAAACAATAGGCCCAGAACGAGTACCTATCGGCCGAGAGAGTCGCCGCTATTAACAGGGTACCGCGTGTATCGCTTTGCATAATGTTGTGCGGCTTTGATGCATTGTAATGTTGAGTTTGCGGCGTGCCGTCATATGCTGCCCCCCTCCGTAAGCCGGAGTCAATGACTGTTTCATTGCCTGTTAACTATCGGGAAGACTTTGCCCCCTTATCTACACGCTTTCCGACCAGGCCATCGTTTACATAGTTCCGCTACTTTATTTCCCTCGACGTTCTGTCTCTCTCTCTCTCTCTCTCTCTCTCTCTCTCTCTCTCTTTTT